AATCGAAAGATGTAATCGATACGAAATAAAGAGAAAGTACGCATTCGTGTTTATGGAAGCTTCCACAGTTTTTGATGACCTATCTTCTGTTACCAATAATTGTACATTTAAATGACGGTATATATTACTTACATTCTTCATTGCTATTATTTTCAACCCTTCTTGTTTGAAATTCAAGTCGACTTTGGAAATTCATAAACACACACAATTTGACAATTTCCGCAAAGAGACCATTATCTCGTACGTGTACGCAAACTTCAGTCAGTCTGTTAATTGTTTATACAATCCCACCATTACCATTTTCCTTCGAAATGCCAGTTTTGATATTGACACAAGTAAATATTTTGATCGTGACTCGTTCCCCTTAAACGTTTTGCTTATAAGAGACTATTTTCATATATAGGAATCCTCCCATCAAACCCCGATTATGAGGAAGGGATCATTTGATTTTGAAAACAAACTTTAGCTGGCTACGGATAAAGAATAGTTTGCATTGAAGCCTGAAAGTGTAACCGATTTTTTCAGCATAGCTTCTTTTAAAACGAACTTTTGTTTTATTAAGATAGAGTTGATGATTCTTTGCGCGAGGGTTATAAAAAATGTTCATCAAAATTTCTTATAATCCAAGATTAGCCTACTATAAAATACCTGCATACATTGTCCATAACACGATTGTTTCTGGGCCAGTTTACACAAGAGCTTCTAAAATAAGAAGTGACGAGGTGATTAAACGGAATGTCCAAACAATTTGATTTGCAGGTCACGACACTTTATGGGATGAAAGGGAATCATTGCTATTTGTGAAGGAGCTCATCTGGGGGTGCCATCTTACTCACGTCTGATGATCTAAGAATTGTAAGCAATGAAATCAGGAGATATTTACGGATTAGGACTTGTCTCAGAGTTAGTCAGTTTTAGCGAAAACCCACATGCTTTTTTTGCTTTTCCAATTTTTCATTTTGATCTTTCAGCGTGTTTAAAATTTTCAAAATACATGCATCTTCCCCAATGAGTCACCGTCTGCTGTATACACATTGAACTATTTCTTCACGGTAGCATCCGAAATTTCAAAACACTTTTCTAAAGTAAGTGGCGATGACGTAAAATATAAACTGAACACAACAATGCAAATTGAAAAATGTGTTTCGACAACAAAAACAAGAAATAAAACACTGTCATTTTATCATCAGTTAATTCATAAGTGAGTCAGAAAGCCATAAGTAAAGATTTATCACTCTCTTGACAGCCTTTTCACAAGACAAACGAGGCTTAGCAAACAATTCGCCTCAAGAATTAATATTCATCATACAAGCACAAATATTACATCACCACGAACATTATGGGGTGTGTACGGAACATTTAGGAATGCCTCAAACACTTTTACTCAAGAAAATAGCAAAGAAACTATACGAAAACAATCTTCTTGTATCCTTTCGAGAACTTTCCATTAGCACAAAATAGTATGCTAAATAAAATTGAGTATTTGGTTACGTTCATTCATATTTTATTTTCATTCAGTGCATGCATATCAACTTGGTTTAAATGTTCGTTCGTTTTTACGCTCCATTCATTGCTCGCTTTATCTGAATGAAGGAATTCGTCTTATCATACTTGTAATACTGCAGTTTCATTGACTCTATCGGTTTCTTTGACGTCATTTTTATACAAGTGTATGTTTATTGCGATATTATTTGTATTACATACCTGTTCTGTAATTGCGACCTTATCAATTTCTCATTTTCCGAACCCTACGTACCTAATTGAAAACTGCAACATTGTATTACAATGTACATTTTTTCTTGACACTTTCATAAAATAGCATGACTTGGTCCAATACTCTGAAAGTATTTTACTTCATAAAAATGCAGGTTTTAACTACCATGTCGTGTCTGCACTCCAAACTAATGTGGTGGAATGCCTCACCTCGTTCTTAAAATAGCTGTTCACACAACATTAGGTGAAAACAATAACCTCATTGATAAACTAGGAAGTGGTGGCGTGAGTAAATATAATAATGAAGGTTTAACTAAAAAATATACACAAACACTGAATAATTGAGTAATTGTGGCAATTTTGTGACTAAATTTAAGGTCGAATCGTACGGAAACATATTTGTTCTAACTCCTTAGTTGTATGTATTGAAATACATGATGTTCTACAGAAAGAATTGGCTCTATCTTGCAAAAATGATTAAGAAATTCCATCACAAAATAAGTAAATGAAAACATCAGAGTCTATTTCCAAACAGAAATTCCTAAAACATAACATCAGTTGTAAAAAAACAGCTTAAAAACGGATGTCAGTAACAGAACGGTCACAAACCTTCGCCCCTTACTTTCAAAGTAATGTCTCGAATAAAAAAACAAAAACAAATTCCCTTTTTTTATTTCGTCTCCTGAAGCATAACGCTAAATTTATTTGGCAAATTACGAGATCCAATTCAGTGAACAATTTGAAAAGGGGAGGCTCAAGTTTTATCTTTGAATATACATAATAACAATTGTTTTACCATATGCCTGTTTTATCAGAACACTGTTCATTTTTTCGCTGTTGCTAACTGTTTTTACTTATCAGTTCGTTTGTGAATGGTAGTAAAAATAGTAAATTGAGGGTGATATTTCTAGTGTCGTTTGGTAGGTGTAGTTGTTATCCTACTAAAGTTGTCAATGCGTACTTCCCTGAATAAAACAGCAAACCTTAACTATATAATTAGCCCAAATTCATTCATGAATCATTTCCTACATCACATCCCGACAAGGAAATCAATGATTCAACCGAATCCCCAAACAATTGGACCTAATCTCATTCCGAAATTGATTAATAAGTAATACCTAAATGTATTCAAAACCCATATTCAAGCTGAATTAAAATTTTCATCCCTAGATTCGTTAGGATCTCCCCTTAAGGAGTCGTTGATAAATATTCATAGAAGGACGAACCCCGTCAGCGAGTATTTCGCAAGGAGGAACGGCTACGTAATAAATTCACAAGTTTAGCCTGATAAGGAAGGTACACGGATTGAAAAATTTTCTCGTAAAATTCGCGGATTATGAGCCTTATCACGGACGTATAACTGAGAGGATGTTTGATACAACTATCTCGGGACGAGTACAGATTTAGTACACAATCATAAATGTACGCAAGCACTCCGCCGCGTGTGAGTCAATTCTCTCGGTTTCCATATGCCAATCACTAAAAACCTCTTAAGCATAAACAAAATATTTATTTTTTATTTATACAACACATCTCATAGAGAACATCGTAAAAGTTATAAGTAGTTCAGACTCGTAGTAACATCGTTCGCTGGTATATTTATGTAGTACGCCAATGTTACTGAGGTCGATGCTCCATACCGAACTAATACACAATCAATCAACCAGATTGATGTACATGCGTTTGTGATTGATAATATGATTGACAGAAACGGAAAATGGAAAAGTAACCACATAAAGGAATTAATGCCAAGATTCCGGTTTAAAATATTAATAGCAAGTTTCCAAAGTCAGTTTATTTTGCTAAAATACGACGAAAAAGTGAAGTAAATAAATGGAGCCGCTGTAAAGAAGGCTTGTTGACTTAACTAAAATGAAGAAAGCTTTGAGAACTCTCATATTTTAGCTCGAGACTATATTTCTATCCGGCTACATGAATATTTAGCAACTATGCAATCTTCGGTGGAGTTACGCGATGAAGACATCAAATTATTTTCAAGATCTTTTTACAAAGAAAAGAAAAGCGTAGTTGCTTCATTAACATGTAATCCTTACTGGATTGTTTCTTTTCTTCTTTTTGCTAATGAATGCTAACTCCATTGCTTTTTTGTTCCGCGAGGCAACATAATGATGGTCGGTTTCCTTTTCGCCGACATGGAGCTTCCGTTTGTTTAAATTTATTTTGTTACATTCTAAGTAGAATTTATGTACTATTTATTTTTATTAGGTACTTTAGGATTTTGTTAATGTTATTTATTGAGTGTTAACGGTTTTCGTGGAAGGTGTTTCAGTTTTGTTTGGCGAATTTTAAGTTCTAATTAAATTATTGAATTAATTTAATCAGGTTTCTGGTGTCAATCAGGGCGTGAATCCAAAACCATCAAGGTTACGACTTTACTGTTCTCCTATAACTACTGACAGGCTGTATCTAAAAAGCATCAAAGATAATAAAAAATCTTGTTTTCCCAATCAACAGTTTCATTGTACATATAAATTTTATTACAGGCGTAGCGTGGGTAGTTTGTACGTTATCACAAGCCCGTTCATGCTCATCCAATATGAATCGTAAGGAATACGTCGCTTTTATACCGCCATTCCAAATTTCGCTTTACGATATTTTTCATCCAAACGAAAATAGATCTTACCAAAACGTTTCAGAGCACAAATCATATTTTTATTGTAATTGGGTATTGGTATTTACGGTAGCTCAAATATTTTATACGTAATTTCCAAATATCACATCATATCATTCAATGAAAGAAATTCCACGAAGAAAAATCAAAGAATTCATTTCAATTATTTCAATTATTGAGTACAACTTGAGTTCTCAAGGAGGCTGTCAGTTACAAATAAAGTTGAAGGTAGTTAAATCAATCGATTCTACTTGAATCGATAGGTATCGAGAGGTCTTAGAATCGAGACATGAATCGAAATATTCAACGTTTCGTTGTAGGCGGAGACTTCAAACGTATTAGAAGATCTTTAAGTGTTTGTTTATGTAATTAAAGAAACAGATGTTTTTGTTCGACATGTTTTCTTAGTTCCAAACATGTTTTGTCATTGGTTTTTTCTTGTCTCGGTTTAAACAGTAACTGGGTGATAAAAAGTAGGAGACGTCATTGAATGGAAATGAAATTAACCTTCAGGTTCTAAGATTAGATTTAATGGTCGAAAAGGTTAACCATAATGTCCGAAAGGCGTAAGTGAACTGTGGTTTCTTCAAATTTTTCATTTGTTCAGCTAAGTTTTTATACCAATGTTTAACCAATGTTTTTCTCTTGTCGCCAGGTCTTAGCGGTTCGAAAGCCGACCTGCAGCACAGGCGCGAAGTGTTCGGCTCGAACCTGATCCCACCAAAGCCCCCCAAGACTTTCCTCACGTTAGTCTGGGAGGCCCTGCAAGATGTGACCCTCATTATTCTGGAGGTTGCAGCTGTAGTCTCCTTAGGGTTGAGTTTCTACAAACCGTCAGATGACCCAGCTGATGTTGGTAAGTTTTATCAAGGTTTTAATGTGCAATACTTTATCAAGCCCTAGATTGTCAGCCATAGGTCCCTCAAATTCAGTTGCAAAATCATAATTGGTATCATTAAAATTCTCCTATATACGCTGACTCATAAATGTATGGAGTCAATCGATAGCTTCAATCAAAGTTTCACGCAATAACAACCCTTATTTCATAGACAATTAAAAGAAATAATTTAACAGCAACATACAATTCTGAGTCGGAAGTAATATGTTGTATTGATCTTGTATAAACTATACGTATGTCCAATTTGTGTAACATATCCAGTCCCCATAAAGTCATTGCCGTAACTGTTACCATAAGATACCATGGAAAGGTTACTATCGATCGCGAACCATGTGCTCGGTCTGAATTATTCAGAGCCCGGTTTTTGCCCGTCTTTTTAACGCGTGTGCCACATGCAAACTTTAGTTCAATACAATCTTCTATACATTTTATGTTGTCAATGTGTGTACATAAAGGCTTTGCAAAAGCTTCCAGTCAGCGATAGTCAAATAAGTAGGTCTTTATAGGAAAAATGCTTAATGTAATTGGCGATGTTCTCAAAATTCATCCCACAAAAAAAGGTTTATTATTTCGCTATTAGCTCCGTAACTTATTTTACTGTAGGTACTGTAGATAGATGTTTAGGTACTATATGGACGTAGAAATTATATCTAGATTTACTGTACACTTTCATTTATAAGTACTGTTAGAAAAACCTAAGGTAATGTATATTAATTTATGTATTTTTTCTTTTCAATAACAATATGGAACATTAGACGATCCTGGTAAGATTATGTGATTAAAGTACGCGATTGTTCGTTGTTAGAGCTATGTAGGTACTCGAGTACAATTGGCGAATAGTATACCTTTATTCTGGGTGCATACTGGACCTATGAAAGGTGGTTTTCTAACGTATGCACTCAGCTGAACAAAAAAATCCTTCACACGACAAGTTTGCAACTAAATCGATACGCTACTGTTTCTAAATGTCTGTGTCCGGATATTTTATGTGTTGTTCTATACCATGGTTTAATATTTACTCAATTAGTGCTGATATATTAATTCTTGTTTCCTAAAATTGGCCAGTTTTGATTCCAAAAATATCCTTAATGAACGAGACAAAATATCAGCACTATGAAATGCAATCGGCACTAAATACTCTAGCATCTTGATCAATTTGATCTGTTTCTGAAATTTACACTGCGTTTACTAGTCGAAATGGACCACGGAAGCATCTAAATTATGTATGACTTTAGGTCTAACCCTAATTCATAATGCCGTTCTAAACCTTTCTTCTCGTTTTCCGATGGTTTCGACTATGAAATGCAGTTTGTCATCTAAAATATGATTCCGACCGTGAAATGGTCGATGATATAGACCATGGTAATGGGGCATGTAATTGATTTAGTTGCGCACATCTTGAGTACCACAATGTAGTTGCACTTTAATAACCCTGTCCAACCCTTTAGGTTTGTCTGTCTTGCTTGCTAGTTTGTGTAACCTCTGATCTTTCTACCAAATATCTATAAGATACCAAACCATTTAAAAATTAACCTACTTCATTAGAAGACAAAGGAAAATTCGGTCAACGAAATTTTACATAAGTCCACAATCGAATGATGATAATGAAGTTACAATTTCAGCTGCAGATAACTGCTACTATGAAAGCCTACGTGAATTCAATGAACTGAAATGAATCTACATAATCATAGAGGCTTGTCCAATCCAATTCGAATATGGACATATTGGACATATTCCAGCAAAATTTTAACGCGTTACGTTCGTATTTTATAAGTATTGATTTCTTTGACAAAGGCTGTATTAAAATCATGTAGAATATCTTCTGAGAAGCCTCTTTTAGCTCCGATCAAATTTTAACATTGAAATTTTGAAACGTATGTCCACAAATTAAGCCTATTAAATATTTTATGCAAATAATCCTTTGATAATTCACTAACTTGTAACCTATTTTGAGTTTCTCTATTATCATTAACGAATATTTTATCATCACCCGTATCACTAACAGATTCTAATACATCAAATTCATTACTTTTAACATCAATATCTTCAAAATCTAGTTCATCAGTATGCATGTAATCTTCGGGAATAGTTAGTTTGCCGGCCAAAGGTGGTCGCAGTCTTACCACCTCATCAATTAGTCCAATGAATATTACCATCTCAATTAAATTAAATGCCACACCGTTATTGAATCTGTGTGCCACCTGATACGGGTCATGACACCTTCCTTCTCTTTCACTCTCTACGTCCTCTCTATCTCTGTCTCTCTCTAGTTGTGTTGCATTACCGTTGTAGTGATGTTCCTCAATGGTGTTTGATTATGAACTGTTTAAAAGACGTCTCGTTTCATTGTTTAGTGAATGGTAATCTATGTTGTTATCATTGTTCTTTGGAAGTTATTTAAAGAAAATATTAATTAAATAAGATATTCCTTATTATTGTAATACTGACGAAAATTATATTAGTGTAACCGCTTTGCTGAATTGTCCTAGCATTGTTTTATGTGGTTTTAATCACAATTGTTCTTTTACTGAAAGAGATAGCTTTATTATATGCGTTCTATCTCTTTCATACATTCGAACAATCGTGGTTTTTTGCACATCACATATAACCTGCTGTTTGCTTAACTATATTATAGTCGATAAAGCAAGCAATATCACCAAACCACAAATATACAATAAAATGTATTTGTATTTACAAAACAATGCTTTTATCTTAGTTACTAAAAAGTCCTGTGTATAAAATGAGCTTATTGCTTGCTTCAGCCCTTCGGTTGAGAATATAGAGTCAGCACTCACATAATATGTGACGTCAACACTAGCCTTTTTGCACAGCCCGACAAAGTCATAAGCTATTAAAAACTGGCAATCTCAAAGGCTTAGTGAGTAGATAATTCTAACATTTATTGGATGACAAAATCATGACTTCTTTCCAATTGCCACTTTGATTCGTCTAATGAGAAAAAATGTATTTAGAAAACAAAACAAAATTTGAATTCATTTTATATTATCGGATATTTCATAAGATAGGTGAGTAAATTACGAATTGACCGTTACAATTCGAAATTTCGGTGTTGCAATGTTTGAAAATATTTAGTTTATAAAATCTTAGTTAAATAAAACCAAAACCTTCTAAATTGGTGTAACTGTAGTTTAAAAGACACTAAACTATGAATTCTAAATTTAATAAAAAATATAAATTAATTTTTTCAGTCATGAAAGTGCTTTACCTCCTTTGCGTTAAAAACATGTAGTTTATATTTTGTAATGTTGTTACCACAATTTTTAAAATATAATGAATGGATTATTATCATTTTATGTTTCTGTGGTATGGTGTTTGGTAAAGCAATTTCATGACCAACCGGCCCTTCTTAATTCTTCTAGAACAATATTAGAACCACGTGTGTTATGTTAAACAACCAATGCACATCCTTAATATCATTTTATTCTAGACTTTATTTCCATAGCAACAAAGCTGACTTTCCATCAGAGATTTACCAACTTCAAACATTTTTCAATAACCAATAGAATCGGTTTATTTTAAAATGCATTCTGTCTTTGATCAGTGATAAAAGCAAGGATATTATAACGCCTTCTAATTTTAAACTAAGTAAAATAAAGCGATGCTATTGGCTGATAGTATTCTAGAACATCTCTGATGAGAAAGTAGCTCAATAGATTTTTGTAGTTCACTTATAAAGACTTATGTTTGTTTGTGTATCTGTCTATATAAAACTATATCTAATATCAATATTAAAATGTTTTCCAGCTCATCTCGACGAAGAGGAAGGTCATTATCAATGGATCGAAGGTCTGGCGATTTTAATATCAGTCATAGTCGTCGTTATAGTTACTGCGTTCAACGATTACACGAAAGAAAGGCAATTCAGGTGTGTATTGAAACCCTTTTAATAAATAGTTATGTATTAAAAAGAATCACCTACTAATAGAATAATGAAAACTAACCCAAAAGTTGTACTAAGTCTAAAAGAAGTGTTCTACTAGTCATTGTAACTTTTGAAAAATGTTCAATATAATTATCTTGCGTCACTGAATCGCTATTAAATTTGTTAAATAAAAGAATATTTCTCATTTAATATTTTTTAAATCCTTAAATTTTAAGTACAATCTAAGGTTCCATTCCTACATCAGACAGAGAATCGATATAAATTACCTTTTTAACTAAAGCGTCAGGATTAAGACAACAATATTATATTTTCTACAAAACTATACCTATTTTTACAATCTATGACCTAATTTAAACGAGATCCCAATCTCAATTACAGAGGGCTTCAATCTCGGATAGAAGGGGAGCACAAGTTCGCGGTGATCCGAGGCAGCGAGGTCAGGCAGGTCCCAATCAGCGAGATAGTATGTGGCGATATATGTCAGATAAAGTACGGCGATCTGCTGCCCGCTGACGGTATACTGCTGCAGAGTAATGACTTGAAGGTAAGCAGAGTTATGATCAATTATGTATCTTTAGTGGTAAGTTTTAACTCTTTCAGTCACACTTTTAACTGGTTACGAATATATTTTATTCAATTATACTGAAATGTTTAAAAACCAATGCAAAATAATTTGAAGCATACTTCAAAAATTTAATTTCTAAGAAAAGGTGGTTAGTTACAGTGACCACCAAGACTGAAAGAGTTAAATATGGTCATCGTTGTTTATATTAAAACTTTCGTGAGACGTACTTAATTAATTATTAGCTTTTCGGCTTACTCACGTAAATGTTTGACGAGGAACTCGACTAGTTTCAAGCCATGCTAGAGGCTCATATTCATGTGCAAGATTCCGCGACCCGCGACGCGGCGACTGTCGCGCTGCTACTTTAAACTAGTCGAGTATACTTTAAACAGTTACGGGAGTAAGCAGAAAACATAATAATAATTAATGGTCATAATTTTTAAAATGTCTCTTATGTAGTAGTTTACTACTAAGTTCCTGAAAATTGCAACGTTTAGTAGGCAGAATGAGAATTGGAACTTAGTTTTTCTCCGTGGAAGAAATGAGAATAATTTAATTTTAACTTGTTGGTAATTGTTAAGTTGTATCATAGTAATAGATTAGTAATATTTCCGTCGGGATGAGTCGTTACGTTTTTGAATTAGATCGATATAACTTGGTGTTAATATCAAAACTGATAATACCAGTATCATCAACCTGACCTATCCCTTTATCAAAGAACAAACTGTAATATCTTTTGGAACACCTGATCATCACTGGTCCCTATTGGCAAAAAAACATGACAATAAACTTAACACACATTACACACTATAACCTATATATACCTGTAATCGACTAAACAAATACAATAGGCGGCTGCCTCGTTGGCCGAGTGGTCGCAAGTGTGAGTGCTGGGCTAGGGGTCTCGGGTTCGATCCCCGAGTCGGGCAAAGTATTACTGGATTTTTTAAATTCTCAGTAGTAGCACGGATTCTGGAAATGTACCCGGTATATGGCAATAGGCTCACCCCCTATTACATGGAACACAACATAATTAGTGAAAAGTGGGTGTTACATTGTACAGTGGCATTAAGTGCCGTAATGTGCACCTCTGCCTACACCTCCGAGGAAAAAAGGCGTGGTGTTATATAAATACAATCAGATATTTTAAAATCTGCAACCGAAACCAACACTATCGTAACATTACAAAAATAATAGTTAATTTCTTTTATGTTAACGCTATGGACACGTTTATGACGTTTGATGTTCTGATTGGCCTGCTCTAAATTAACCAACCAATCAGACGAGTTAATCGCGGTAACGTTTAACGTAAAAAACTAACTCTAGGTTCTCAGTCCCCTCAAGTAAATATAAGCACCTAGGTAGTAATATCTAATTTGTAACAATATCGACAGTGTGCGTCAATTGATAACTGAATACCTTACTGATCAAACACTGATAACGCGTTATTAGGTTATCAGTAACAATGTTATATATAAAAACGTGGATATAGTGCGAAAAAAATGAAAATATTTACCTGTTTTCGCCTTTTTAGAGGTCAGTTTTTGACCTTAGTTATTTGAGTACAAAAGGAAGAACCCTACTACAAATTCTACGATAGTACTGACAATTCCCACCTCAATTCTGCTACGCTATTCTGTAACTTTCAATTGGAAAGATCGAGGTGAAATCGATCGGTGTCCCCCATGTAATTACTTCAGAGAATAATCGCGACCAAAGAGTACAATCGCATAAAGTACGAGAATACGATCGAGCGCACTTTCAAAGTTCGAATTAACGGTTACAGCCACCTAATAAATAGCCAGTTGATAGCCAGCTCTGACTACTCTTCGTATGTTGAATCAATGGTTTAGTAAATAGAAAGTAATCTGTCACCTATGGCTATCAAAACTCTCAATGAAACTTTGCAAAAACCGTCAATGGAATATAAAACCTCGTTCCACCTCCTTTGCCAAGATTTCCTACAGAATTAACAAGATCCTTCAAAGTCACTTCAAAAACTTTTATCTCAAAACTCATAATCAAATGAATTACTGCCAAACTTGCACACTGAGATATACAACTACTTAGAAAGTCGCATAATTGTACAATTTGCGTCATTATAAAGCCAAGATTGTGTCGATAAAACCCTCACTGAGATACCAAGTTGTTTTAGATAAGGAACAAACTGAATACCGCAGTTTTTATCTTTTATTTTAATATTTAATTCTTATGTTTAGTTACGAATTATGTTAAATGTCGCTAGATTATAATTATGATCTATGGCTGTGTGATGGCCATGTTTGATTACAGATTTTCTTGTGTTACATAATGACACTTTTGTAAGTCATGTGCATGGTCTATAAATGACAGAAGCTCAAAATTAGGTTCCAACATTGCTAAGGCTTTTTATCAGGCGAGAATTATCGATATCGAGAAATAAGCTGCAGGATAAATTGGCAATACATCTGTATTATGTAAATTCTTTATGATAAGTCAACATGTTTTGATAAACAAACCTAGGATAGCTTAACGGCCAAAGTCCTGTCACTAGCTCATATTATAAAATCTATTACACAGGTTTTTTCAAAAGGAATCCTTCATCATTGCATTTTACGTTACAGGTTGATGAATCATCGCTCACTGGTGAATCGGACCATGTCAAAAAGGGTGAATCGTTTGATCCCATGGTGCTATCCGGTACACACGTCATGGAAGGTATGCAAACCGCCACAACACAGTTATTGTAACAGAAAATATGTTACGTTTGGCCTTGATATAGTTTTGCGCATAAGTAAGAGGTTAGCGCAAGTTTGCGCATGTATCCATTAAATAACTTTCATAGATTAAGGACTTAAGTTGCCAATATAATAAATTTTTGACTTTTGAAGTCAACACTAAGAGGAATCTATTGCATTTTAGCACATTATGCTAGCCTCGATGGGCTGCCTGACCTATTCCCTCTTAATAACTGAGTCTTCATTTGCATGCATAACTATATCATCTTGATTCAATTTCCAGGCTCCGGCAAAATGCTGGTAACAGCGGTCGGTGTAAACTCCCAGGCTGGTATCATCTTCACGCTCCTCGGCGCCGCTGTAGACAAGCAGGAGAAGGAAATCAAGCAAATGAAGAAAGGTCAGTAACCTTGTGATGTGTTCGCTAACGTAGCATAGTGATGTCCCCTTAGATATGTACCTCCTTTCTGATGAAGCGGTGATGGTCATGTGATGTCCAGTGGTTATGGTTATTTTTGTCAATGTCCAAAAAGTTTAATGTTTTGTAATAGAAATGTTAAGCTTACATAATCATCAGAAAGGTCGTCCTTTAGCGAAAATCCCGCAAGATAGTTAGCATTGTTACTCTGCTCATTTAGGTGATGACGCTTTCTGCGAGTTGCTTTAACAAAAATGTACTTAAACATGAGACTATAGAGTATGTTTTAGCTTGGCTAAATGAGCATAGTACGCCCCAATGCTTGGTGCATACATTAGTGTAACCAGTGACGTATGACCCCCTCCCCCCTTGTCATTGAGCCACCGCACTTAACCTCCATTTTGGAAGGAGGTATTAAAAAAATTATAACGAAATTGGGAAAAAAATAAAGCTTTCCTCTACACATCTGGCCAAAATTATTGGCACATTAAACCTTTTTTATGCATTTTTGCCAGTTTCGTTTTTAAAAGTGAGATTATTTTATTTATTGATGACTGAATGATACGGATTGTCATTTTCTTGTCTTGATTTTATTGTCGTTCCATACAGTCTTGTTGAACGTTGTCTGTCTATGTTATATGTTTTAACTAATAGCCTGAAATGTTTTGTGAGAGCATGACATATTTTTAAAGCGAATATTTTCATTTGTACGATATTATTTATTATGTGTACGTTCGATGTTGTTCTATTATTATTTCGTCTCAATAAAGAAATAATCTCTGTACAACAATCCTAAAATTATAATTAAAATGATCATAAAAGCATACATTTGTAAATGCAATTTTAGTCGCTACGTTTGAGCTGTTGAGAGTTTGAATATAAACCTTACTTCAATTAATATAAGACTGAAAACATTTCTAGTAACCAGTTTCAATAAGAGTGATATTACCTCAACTGTTCAAACAGCAATTGACATAAACCCTTTAGATTTAGTGCCACAACCAAACATATAGTGTGATCCGTACAATGACATCCAACTTTTTTTTCTCCACCCCCGACCCCGGCCTGCTGCACGCATCTCCATGTCGCCGATCAACAAAAAAATTAAAATTAAAAAAATACATAAACCAAAAACCTAAATCAAAACATACACATTGAATGCATCGTGTAACTGTCGTGTTGACTGCATGATGTATCAAAATATTATCCAATCGTTGTCATTAATGTGTATGCTTATTATATTTTGGATAAAAAATATATTATCGATGGGATATTGGACAAAAATTGACTCGAGTAGAGGCTAAAAAGCAGCAACGCAAGTCTACGCAACGCAAGAGTTTGACTGGTAAGTAAAATCCTTTGCTATGCCCCGCTTTAAAAACTACCGTACACTGAGGGTCAGAGAAATTTCGCCTTTATTATTATAATGATACATGTTATATTTAAATAATGGTGATGGTGCTTAGTCTGTAGCTTCGAGCTTAAATGTGGGATGGGTAGATTATTCTGTCCTTTAGTGTACATAAAACAGGCACTACAATTATGGAACAAAGTTACTCTAGCGTTCTTCCTAGATACAGTATTTTAATAGATTAAAAACAGTAATATTATACTAATTTTCTCTCTTTCTCGCGATTTGGTAGGTTTCTTAAATAATAATAATAATTTATTGAAATTTAAAATTTAATTTTAAACCATTCATTTTCACTTAACAGCATCCTAGTGCATTTCTTTTGTAGTAACACTTTAATGTATGTAATTGATTAACTTATAGTATAATTAAGGATCTTCTAACTAAGAAGGTAGGTACAACCGTAGATGAACTAAAATTCAGTACACTTGCACTACAAAGTACAAATACCTAACAGTAATTAATTTTCTATTTTGTAGTAGAGACACTTTTTATTTTTGTTTTTCAAAAAGCAGCCTACAGTCCAAGCTGAGTAAGTTCTCTTTTCTTCGAGAATTTTCCTCTATTAACAGAAATTATTAAATTTTCAGGCTGTTTTAAAGTAAAGCTATTTGATTTATCGAATTGGCACTGTAACTAGAGATTCTGTTAAATTCTGGGCTTAACATTGTAAGCGATAGTTGCTCAAGTATTTCAGCGTTGACTCGCAATCGAGGGGTTATGTACTTTATTTCTGTAGTCATAAAGTTCATTTTTTTACATACATTAACCTCTGGATAGTGAGTTACGTCTTAGAAAAACGTTGTGATACTGTACTGGTATTGTTTTATTATGAATTGGCCATCTTTAGTATTCATTTTCTAAATTAGTATGTAGTAGTATTCAATGTCAATTAATGTAGATATTTGGTTATTCTATTCGATTTTCTTTCTGAATTAAAATTTTCAAAGTAATTTTAGATGTCAAAGCCAACATTTCAACATAATTTTGGACCTATTATGTGACTAGAACTCTAACCGTACTGAGATAGTATCTATACACAACATATTTATTATTAGGTACTCTAAACTCTATGTAGCTTTATTGGCAACGTATTAGTTAGACAAATTATCACTGTAGACGAATTAAACCCTTTATTTATTATCAAATTCCAAACTACCAGTACACAATCATAACAACATATTTGAGTAAATTATCGCTTTACCCAACAATATACTAACACGGTTATTACACCACACAGGTGACGAAGACGCAACGTTGCCGGCGTCAGGCAACAGCCACGGCGCGAACCACGCGCGACCAGACGACAACCACGTGCCTGCGACCAGCGACAAACCTCCGCCAGAAGCTGCACATAAAAAGGAGAAGTCTGTACTGCAAGCCAAGCTCACCAAGTTGGCTATACAAGTAAGTAAACATGCATATTGAAGCTTATTGTAACACCTTTTATTCCCTAAAAGAATAAGGTAACATATATTAAACAGAACACTTTTTATTGGCTGAGTAAGAGTCCTATGAAATAAGGACTCAGCTTAATGTCATATGATGACGATATCAGTCTTATCTCAGTGCTTCTAGCACCAGACAGAATTCTAGATGCGTGTGTGTTTTTTTTACCGAAAATTAATATATTTTTATAATAACTATCGTGAGACATACTAAATTAAGTAAAAACGCGGGTTACTCACGTGAATATACTGAGAAAAGCTCTACTAGTTTCGAACCACAAAGGGGTTCTTCCTCATGAGTAACCCGCGTTTTTACTTAAAATTAATATATTTTAATCCGACCTCGTAATGAAACACGAGATATCTCTGAAACCGCGCTTGTGACCTCTCAACTGACGAGACAATCTGCAAAGCATTTTCAAAATAAATCTCCTAAAATGTTTAACACCAGTATAGCACTATTAGTTTTAACAACATATCATACGGGTGTTTGGAATATGTGCGACAAACTTAAACCAATTTCTTCAACAGATCGGCTACGCCGGCTCCACAATAGCAGTTCTGACGGTGATCATCCTGGTGATAAACTTCTGCGTGCATACATTCGTGATCGAGCAGAAGCCGTGGAAGGCGACGTATATCAACAACCTGGTGAAACATCTCATCATTGGTGTCACCGTACTTGTCGTCGCCGTGCCTGAAGGATTGCCGCTTGCCGTTACTCTGTCGCTTGCTTACTCTGTCAAGGTATGTATCTCAGTTACTTTAATTGGTTTTTGTTCTCAACCGTTGTGACTGTAATAAATAAATAAATAAAAAAAATCTCTTTTATTAATATAAAAAGCGTTCGGCGCTCTGATTGGCCGGCTCAAATGACCAACCAATCAGAGTAACGAACGCGGTCTCGTTCTAATGGTGTTACGCCATATTTTCTAATATAATTTGTTTTCAACATAAGACGTAACAAAGTGGCCTATAAAGTTTTGAACTGTTCTCAATGTTATTATACAGACAGAACATTTGGACTGGATATAGAATATCCTAGTTTTCTATACCTATTGCACTTAATAATTCAACCGTTCACTGTATATACAAAATAAACAAGATGATTGATACTCTTAAGTAGCCTACAGTTCTCTTTATTCACCTTCCCCTTTATAACACTCACATTATCCTTCCACAGAAAATGATGAAAGACAACAACTTGGTACGTCACTTAGACGCTTGTGAAACGATGGGTAACGCAACCGCAATCTGTTCAGACAAGACAGGAACTCTCACCACGAACCGAATGACAGTCGTACAGTCCTACATCTGTGAGAAACTCTGCAAGGTCACGCCTAACTTCAGGGATATACCGCAAGAGGTCGCCGAAACTATGGTCGAAGGAATATCTGTTAATGCTGCCTTTACGTCCAGAATTATGGTGAGATTTTATTGTTACTTTCTTGTAAATTATTATCACAATTGTTAATTGAATGTTTTCTATATATGTTTCTGGAACAATTTAGCTAGCTGTGAGTGTTTTTTGTCAGAGCACAATTTCTCTTTGAGTTTGATTCAATCCATGTTTTTTCATGGCCATAACTTTAGATACACACTAGCGGACCCGACAGCGTTGTCCTGCATATAATATAATAACAGGTATAGATAAATAACCGAGGCACCGACTGCAGCGCCATCTACCGGGCTGATTTGTGAATCTAAACCATTCCCAGATCCCCTTGAACACACAAAAAAATTTCATCAAAATCGGTCCAGTCGTTTGAGAGAAGTTCAGTGACATACACACTCACAGAAGAATTATATATATAAAGATATACAAAATTAGAGTGTACATCACAAATTATAATTTTTTGATCAAACCTTAACAATATATCGTTCCTTCTTCGTACAGCCGAGCCAAGATCCAACAGGGCCTCCAATGCAAGTTGGTAACAAGACCGAGTGTGCCCTGCTAGGGTTCGTCCTAGCGCTTGGCCAGAGTTACGAGGCAGTTCGTGAGAGACACCCAGAAGAATCCTTCACCCGTGTGTACACTTTCAACTCGGTGCGCAAGAGCATGTCCACTGTCATCCCCTACAAGGGCGGCTACCGACTTTACACTAAAGGAGCTTCTGAGATTGTTTTGAAGAAGTAAGTACCGCTTTTTTAGATATCTAGCTTTTACCAATGACTTTTTACTTGAATTTGGGCCATATTTTTAACTTTCCCTTTATTTCAAAATCTACATGTAACATAGTCTTTCTACAAAAAATATTTTCAATGTATCACATAAAATGCTATAAATAACATAATTCTATAAATTATTTTATATCTTTTAATGTTGACATGGATTTGAATGTGTATTTGAAATATTGATATAATGGTCTTATAACAAATTAATTAATTGTTGTCATTGGTGTAACCGTTGTAATTAATATAAATAAATAAATTATATAACTTCAACATCAAACTTAATCGACTCGAAATTGAAATGTTAGTAAAAATAAAGTTAACCTTCTAATTTATTATATGAATATTTTTTCTTGATTATTATTTCAATAAGCAAAACAAAGAATTGCCATTTAATATTAATATATTTCCTTTCATTCTACAGATGCGCATTCATCTATGGTCACGAAGGTCGTTTGGAAAAGTTCACGCGCGACATGCAAGAGCGATTGGTACGACAGGTAATCGAACCCATGGCCTGTGATGGACTCCGAACCATCTCCGTCGCTTACAGGGACTTCGTACCGGGCAAGGCTGAAATTAACCAGGTAAGCTTAAAATAGATAATATACCAGCATAGCATAGCATAACATCACGCCTTTTTATCCCCGAAGGGGTAGGCAAAGGTGCACATTTCGGCACTTAATGCCACTGTACAATGTAACACCCACTTTTCACTATTTATGTTACGAGTCCCATGTAATAGGGGGTGAGCCTATTGCCATATACCGGGCACATTTTTCCAGACTCCGTGCTACTACTGAGATTTTTAAAAACCCAGTAATACTTTGCCCGACCCGGGAATCGAACCCGAGACCCCTTGCCCGGCAGTCGCACTTGCGACCACTCGGCCAATGAGGCAGCAAATAGATAATATGTTAGTTATAATTACCTGTTTGTTGTTTAAAATGTTCACAAAAATATGTGTGTGCAGTACATTCATAATTACTTTTAACTCAACCCAATATGTATGATTATAGTTGCGATTTACTTACGAACAAATTGTTTGTCTATCCAGGTGCACATAGACCAGGAACCGAACTGGGACGACGAGGATAATATCGTGAACAACCTGACCTGCTTGTGTGTAGTCGGTATTGAAGATCCTGTGCGACCAGAGGTACATTTTATAACTTTTTTATAAGTACTAGAATAGGTACCTTACATTTTGTTTGATTAAATAATGATTTCCTAATCTTCTACTTTACGAATGTGAACATAAACATTTTGATTTAGAAATGATAGTCCCAAAAACTCTTTCAAATAAGGAATTTTGTACACGAACCCATTATTATTTTAATAATTTATACAAGTTATAACTATTTCATTGCCTTTGAAACTCCTTAAAATACACTTAACCGTACCCATCAACATCAACAGTTCCATAACAGTCCACTACTAGACTAAAGGCGTCAACTTAGTATAATCTCCATTCTTGGCAAAGGAGCTGAAAATAAAAACCATCATATAAATGTTTCTTCGTCCCCAGGTACCCGAAGCCATCAGGAAATGTCAAAAGGCAGGCATCACAGTGCGCATGGTGACCGGAGACAATGTCAACACGGCGCGGTCTATTGCCATCAAGTGCGGGATACTCAAACCTACTGACGACTTCCTCATTCTGGAGGGCAAAGAGTTCAATAAGAGGATCAGGGATACTAATGGAGAGGTATGTGACATTCGGTATCTTTTCTGTGTGTATGATAGATCTTATAAGAGTAAAATAATCGCCATCTTAACAGGCAAGTTTAGATATCGTAGTTTAAACAGATCTGAGGGCTTTATACAACTTTGTTTTTTGGTTAACGTGATCGACAACGTTTATGATGCTCTCATTGGTTCGCTCCATAGAACCAACCAATCCGAGGGTACACGTAAAGACTAGAGGTGATGACAAATGTATTCTATTCTGTTATTACCTCGGCCTTTTTTTCAGTCTGAATAACTCAAGACACTCTTTACAATGTCCTAGTAAGAAACGGAACATTATATAAACTGTCAAACACCGAGAGAACACCGGTGACCGCAACCTATTGTTCTTTAATTGTGTCTATAATGACGGTACTCAAAGAGATTCTTCTGTTTTGCAGGTACAACAACACCTACTAGACAAAGTATGGCCGAAACTCCGCGTCCTTGCGAGATCGTCACCGACAGACAAATACACGCTAGTTAAAGGAATGATCGAGTCTAAAGCCTTCGACACACGCGAAGTAGTCGCTGTCACCGGAGACGGTACTAATGATGGACCTGCGCTTAAAAAGGCTGATGTTGGATTTGCTATGGTAAGTTGTTTCTTGTTGGTAGACGGGTAAGGTAGATTTTTGAATGGGGAAGATGACCCATTTAACAACTATTGTGATTTAATAAATAAGATCTTGGATTTTATTGGTGTCATCTAGTTGATTCTAAAGTGATGAACCTTGTTAAGTTACCAAAAGCTTAGCTATGTCATTGTTCTTTACTTCACTCAAAATCTTGATTGTTTAATTCACTTTACAAAACTTGAAATCTTCAACTTTAATATTTCGAAGCAAAGTCGTATTCTTACATGTCTATATTTTCTATCTTTTATTTTACCCATCATACTAAACATTTATTGACATTACCAAACATTACCTATTGTCATAAGCCCCAACACACTTTCTAACCTTCCAATTCTTCCCCCAGGGTATCGCAGGTACAGACGTAGCGAAGGAAGCATCAGACATCATCCTTACAGACGACAACTTCTCATCCATCGTGAAGGCAGTGATGTGGGGCCGTAACGTGTATGACTCCATCGCCAAGTTCTTACAGTTCCAGCTCACAGTCAACGTGGTCGCTGTTATTGTGGCCTTCATTGGTGCCTGTGCGATACAGGACAGTCCTCTTAAGGTATGTACTTTGAAACAGAATTATTATGTCATCGTTATTATATCAACCACAAGATGCTGATGCTGAATATAGACTTCCTCCAAAACTGTACTAGTGGTTCTTCACTACCATAAAAATAACTAAAAATAGTTTTGTGTTTATTCGAAAAGTCAGTCTGCAATTTTAAAAGGTTTTTAAACACCAATAAATCATTAGTTAAAAAAAGTGTTTTTGCGATCGAATCAATTCATAGCTCCGATCGCTTTCATTTTTTAAATCTTGGGGTCTACTTAGGATTCTTGTTTCGAACTTAAGATCCCTTTCTGAATATTTCGATTTTAACAATTTATCACTGATTTCCCCTTCCAGGCAGTACAAATGTTATGGGTAAACTTGATCATGGACACGCTAGCGTCGCTTGCGCTGGCGACAGAGATGCCGACGCCGGACCTGCTACAGCGCAAGCCGTACGGACGAACCAAGCCTCTCATCAGTCGCACCATGATGAAGAACATCCTTGGACAGGCCATCTATCAGCTCTTTATTATATTCTCGCTTCTATTCGTCGGTAAGTTATAGATGATTTAAGGGACAAAATCTGGTTTTAATAATAATAAATAATAATAGACTATTCTTAATCTTATGTTGAACAGAACGTAACTGACTTGATATAAAGGGATATTCTCATGATCAACATTTTCCAGGTTGATTGTAAATAATTATAAACCTTACGTTCTCTAGCATACAGTTTAATATCTACATTTTCGCTTAATATTGCTATCAAGTTAGACTGTAATAAAATATATGTCATGGATGTCTAAATAATGTACTACAAAAACTTGCAAATAATTATGATACAAATGTCCACAATTCCTATATCTCCAGGCGACAGGCTGCTGAACATCCCGTCAGGTCGCGGCCAGGCGCTGGGCTCGGAGCCCACGCAGCACTTCACGATCATATTCAACACGTTCGTCATGATGACGCTCTTCAACGAAATCAACGCGCGCAAGATACACGGCCAAAGAAATGTGTTCCAGGGGTTGTTTACTAATCCCATCTTCTATTCTATATGGATCGGCACTGCGGCTTCGCAGGTATGTCAATTACATAACATCACGCCTTTTATGCCTTTTATCCCCGAAGGGGTAGGCAGAGGTGTACATTATGCCATTGTACAATGTAACACCCACTTTTCTATTATGTTATGAGTCCCATGTAATAGGGGGTGAGCCTATTGCCATATACTGGGCACAATACAAAAATTTCATATCAACAGAAGATGTGAGAAGGTAAAGTGATCGCAATCAGGTAATAAATGAACGAATAAAAAAACTTCCTTACGCATTGTTGCTGTTGTTTGACGCCATCTTTCATGTAAGGAATCTTTTCATTTTTTTCTCTTTAGGTCGTATCCAATTTCGGAACTCAATAAGTTGTGTTATTAGACGTCGATATTTTTAGTTGAGTGTGATAAATAAGAAACAATATTGTACTAAACTAATGATGACCTTCTTTTATGACCATCGTCAACAACCAGTGTCAGTATCCCATGTTAAATTATGAAACTTTTTTTGTATGGGACTAGCTGACCAGGCAAACTTCGTACTACCTTGAAAAACACCTTTTACTTTATTTATCATTTTTAGTTACATTTTTCTCACCATTTAAACCTTCCCTGGACTTCCACGAACACTTTAAGAACATAATTAGGCAAATCGGTTCAGCCGTTCTCGAGTTTTAGCGAAACTAACGAACGGAAATGCATTTTAATTTTACATTTGATATCGCAATCTAAACCCATTACTACACAAACCCCATCAAAAAAATTCCAGGTAATAATAATCCAGTTCGGTGGCATGGCGTTCAGTACGGCGGGTCTGTCGATAGACCAGTGGCTCTGGTGTCTGTTCCTCGGCGCCGGGACCCTTGTCTGGGGTCAACTCGTCACCACCGTGCCCACTAGGAAGATTCCTAAGAGACTGTCGTAAGTATTTATTATCATTTAGAATAATTTAGATGGTTCTTTCATCATCATCACCCCTTGAACTCCTGGACTTATGGACCCGCACTACAAAAGAAAAAAATTTATAACTAAATAATTACAATTTTTTTTTTTTTTATTTATTATTTATTATTACATTTCAGTACAGTTTAAAAAAATTTTTTGCACCATTAAACCACAGCTGGTTTGTATTGGTACTCACATTCGCAGTTTTATGTTATAAATTTATAAACCCATTCAGTGTGACAATTATGCTAATATAATAAGTGACAAAGATTTTAGATACATTACATATTTTACGAGTAACAGTAAACATCCATGAGCAAAGCATAAACGTACTCATTAAAATTGCAAAGAAACAAAGTACTCGAAGAAACCGATACCGACACACACGGCACTAGCCAATGTTAAACTTTTGCAGTCTACCCCACAATATGCTACATTGGCATTATGTCTTGTATTAGTTCTCAATATGTAACCGGTCCTCGTCAACTTAAAAAATTGTAATATACAGGCTGTTTCCTACATTTTGGTCGTGAATAATTTTAGACCATGTTATTTATGATACTGTGGTAGTATTTTTTATATTTCTGTTTATAGTTTTTGGAGTTAATTTCGTATTTGATATTTTGTGGAATTTCATTCATTATTGTGGGGATTATAAATTTAGAGGTTCGTCTGCCATAATAATTTTTAACTTGAGGTATTATTAATTTATTTTTGGTAATATTCCTAGTGATTATTTTATGCGAAATGGGTACTTGAATACTTTTATTATTAAATTGTTCACTCAAGAAGGCTAGATCAAAACGAAACTGTACAGGTAATATTTTGCAATATTTAAATAATTCTGTGACGTTATTTCTGCATTTGTCTTTTATTTTACTCGGGACCATAAGTTTTAGAAATCGAACCTGCAATTTGGTTATCTTTTCAACAAGTGTTTTAAAGGTACGCCCGTAACTTGTGATTCCGTATGCAATAATTGATTCCGCCAAGGCCATGTACATGCTAAGTAGTGTTTTAAATGGAACTTTCGGTTTCAATATGTAGAACTTAGCCAATATTGCCCGTAACCTGTCACACACTAAGTCGACATGAAAAGACCAGTTGAAACGGTCGTCTACGATTAGTCCTAGGTACGTGTGGTGCGTTACCTGGTCAATTTCCTCGCAGCGACACGCGCCTCGCCGCGTGGAGTGAAGGCAACCGTGACTATGTGATACAATACTAAAAGGCATCATTAGCTTCAAGTGGCTTGAATGGACATGTATTATTTTAGTTTTACTGGAGTTAATAACCAGTCCAGCATCATGTGCCCATTTGGAGACTCTAGTAAAATCTTCCTGTAACCAGTGCGCTGCTATATTAACATCTCTGTGGGCTGCTACAAGGCATGTGTCATCTGCATATTGATAAATTGAGCAGTGATTTACCACATGCTCCATGTCGTTGACATAAGTCAGGTAGTGCAAAGGCCCAATTACTGAGCCTTGAGCCGTCCCGTCAGTGACATCAACAGCATCACTCATCTCAGTACTGATTTTAACAGTGTATTTTCGATTGTTCAGGTAGTCTTTACACCACCCAAGCATTGGCCCCCGAATCCCAGAGTTTTCAAGCTTTGTCAACAGCGTGTTATGTTTAAGCGTGTCAAAAGCCTTACTGAAGTCAATAAATAGCAAAAGTACATGGTTTCTGGCATTGAGAGATTCATTGACCTCATCAGTAAATTTTGACAGCAGCTGTGAAGTAGACTTATTAGCTTGAAAACCATACTGTGTACTGGACAACACGTTCTGTTTGACATAAAAATCTTGTATCTGTTTACAGATATATTTTTCTACTATTTTGTCAATAACCGGCAAAATAGTGATCGGTCTATAGTTTTTATAGTCACTTAAGCTGCCTTTTTTATGTATAGGGCGCACTATACCGGTTTTCAATACTCCCGGATACTTTTCTTGTTTAACACTAGTATTAATTAACTTTACGATAACACTGGCCATCTTGTTACATATTGATTTTATGTCTATGCACCTAATATTGTCTATGCCAGGTGCCTTCTTTGCGTTGAGATTTTTAATTATTTTAGTCACACTGCTGTTTGTAGCCTTCCTAAAGCAAATTGACGAGTTATGGGGAAACATATACTCTGTTTCATTTAATAAACGATGTTTACAATTTGGCAAGATTTTTTGAACGCTGTCTCTGAATTCTTTAGCAAAATTATCCGCGATAGATTTTATTTTTAAATGACTGTTTTTGAAGGCTTTCAGGATAGACTCGTCAACCGAAGTCTTGTTACGACCAGACAAATTATTGAGTATTTGCCATAGGTTTCTGGGGTTTGATTTATTATTATCTATTTGATTTAAGTAATATTTATTCCTAGATGTTTCGATTATTTTGTGCGTTCTATTTCTTAATTTGTTATACTCTAATCGCAGAATTTTGTTTGTTGGATCACTCTTCCATTTTATGAATAATTGATCTTTTCTTTTACACATGTTATTAATTTTATTATTTATCCATGGCTGTATGTTTCTTTTACTATGACTTTTAATTATTTTCGTGTATTTAGATTCCTCGTAACATTTTTCAAATTGATTTCTTATGCAATCATAAATAGCTATCGGACATTCTGTAGTATCTACTTCGCTCCAGCTTATGTTATTTAATAGTGATTTCATTTTGACATTAATTGAATTATTACAGTGCTAATACGTCATCTTAATCGTCATCATCATCATCATCATCAGACCATTTTTTATGGAATAGGAGAACAAATGAACTGACGGTTTCACCTGATGGTAAGCATTAGACACTGGATTGGACCTCTAGTAACCTCACACCTGGTAAAGGAAACACCATAAGGTGGGGTCTCCTCCGGTAATCTCAATCCCGCAGTAAGATACAAAGCTTGGTTATTTTATAACAGTTTTCTGTGAGGCTATGGTAATTGTCCTATGATGTGATGACATACATAATCTCGTGCCACCCAGATGGGGCAGAGGTCAGCCCGATCCAGAGACCATCCAGCCCGGTCCAGACTACGATCCAGATCTGGATAAGAAGCCGCGAGCTGGCCAGATTCTCTGGATCCGCGGTCTCACGCGCCTCCAGACTCAGGTATGCACAACACATAAACGATACACACACACAAACACAGGGATTACATTATGTCTTGACGGATGACATGTGCTTGTAGAGAAGATATTTTTATGATTGTGATATTAAGTAGTCGGGAATTTCTGTTATAAGTTTTAATTGTGATTTGTTTGGTCTGAATAAAATAATGTAATAAAAGAAGCTTTATATTTTTGTAAATCTTTTAATCTGTGCGTTAAATTTAAAAAAGATTGTCCGTATTTGCACTTTTTCACACGAATAACTACTGGTTTTAATTGCCTATAGTTGATAATAAACCTTATTTTGATACACCAAAAAGTATATCTCATCCGTCTTTAAATGCTATGTGGCTGAATTCAGTAGCTGAAAGGTCGCTGGATTTCGTCTGGGGCTTTCAATAACTTCATATTAATATAAAAAAGTACTTAATATATTAATATGAAATTATCGGGAATCTAGGTACACGAACACAAAGCGGGTTAAATGTTGGGGTCGATGTACATCATCATTTTGGGGGTTATAAATGGTTCTAAAAATTTATTCACACTTGAATAAACTATTCAAGTCTGAATAAATTTTTCGCAACTGCTAACAATGGCCAAGATTTGAATAAATATGTTTTTATAAGTATTTTTATGGCTATTGTTTCCAGTTATATTTTTACTGGCGGCATTCTTAATTGTTTAATTATGAATAGTTTATTCAATAACAATATATGAATAGTTAAAGAGTCGTATAAATTGTAAGAAGCTGTCAGTAAATCCTCATGGGTTACATCATGATATTGGCTGTGATTTTGAGACTGGTTATCCAAAGAAACATGATGATATTCCATGCTATATTATGTATAAAAATATACAATTACTGCGCATATTTACTGAATTACTCTCAAGAGGAATGACGTAAACATGTCACAGTAGTTATTCAATAATGATAAATAAATAAATTCAAAAATAAAAAATATTAGGAATCGCAGGCTGTTCGAGCTTACGAAAGAGGGATAAGTTTTGAGTTTACAGCTTTGATACATACAAATATATAAACAGCAAAGGTCAACAGGTCAACACTTCGGATACCTTGGGCATCCTAACGCTAAGTCAACGATACTATAGTCCTTATTATATATACTTTTACTATTTTTGCATACAAACGAATATAACCACCATTTTTCAATATTATGCATCCATATATCTAGAATATTCGACCATAGATTATATAGAGATACGTTAAATCATTTTTATATTACACATCTTATGATTTGTCCGTGCAGTAAGCGGGAACTTTCACAGTACGAGTCGATACAAATAATTAATAAATTCAAATATATATTTTTTTCTAAATAATACACAAAAATAATTATTTCTCCGTAAAAGAAAACGAATTTCAATATAACTGTTAACGTTATTGTTTTTTGATTTTTTTAGTTTTTTATTATTTTATCTTTCTCGTTTATTTATTTTTTTATTCTATATTAATTTTCTTGTTTTTCAAGTCTCTTTATTATTTTTCGTTTCATTCTCCTATACTTCTGTTCTTTTCGAGACATTTATTTTTATACCTACACAGAGAAACACTTTACAAAGTAATAAATAGTAGTATACGCTATCATTATTTTTGGCCCATGATTAACGTAGAAATTAACTAATTGTTCGGTCACTAATTTTGTTTAAACTTACAATTGCTCTTGAAGAAATTATTATGATAAAACTATTAAAAAATGTCGAAATTGGCAACCGAACAATGATGCAAACATTAGAAACTTTTATTTATCCAACAAGACTATATTTCATTTTACTTCTTCAGACCTGGTTTCATGACATTTATGTATTTGTTTATGGAACTTTTTATTATCTATCTGTATTTCAGTCTTGAGAATCACCCTGCTGTCTCCTGCTCTTTACTCCTAACTTGTCATGAGACCGGGGCTATCCCGTAACGCCACTAGATATGAGAGTAACCGCCATGCATGAACCGCATAACGAGACAGTCTGACGCTACCCGTTTTATTTTATTTTTCTATATTTAATACCTGAGTTGACTTGCCGCCCCTCTTCCACTACCCATTGGCATGCTCTAGTAGGCTGTGACAATGTTACTTATCCCTCGTATTTACCTTCAAACAGTTACTATGACTACCCCGATAGTATATAAATATATTACTCAACATAAACCACATCGCGGTATGAATATGACTATCTCTATCTTACTCTATCTTTTATTTAACTCTAGTCATACTGACTGTTTGATTTTATTTTTTTATTTTTGACTATTTTTTTGTTTTGTTTTATTTTTGTCTGTTTTTGATTTTTATTTTGAAGAATAGTATTTTTTGCTTGTGATGCGCCAACCCGAAACATCCTCGCTACTGATCCAAAGCATCCCAGCTCTGTAAATGAACGCCGTTTCGAAAGAACCTGCCACTGCCAGGCCCGCACGGCGTACCGACTAACATGCGTGTAGCGTGACCGATATCAAAATACTAGCAGTAACTTGACTTGTTCACTCGATCACTTGTTTATCCACTTTAAAGTATTATTTTAATATTATTTTGTACCAAGTTGTGTTCAGTTACTGCTGTTAGAATGACTTTATTTGAGTGTGGAGTGGATTTTTTTTGAGAAAATATTAGTAAACACACATGTAGCGAGAGCATGCTCCGTGTGCTCGGACTAACACTTCAGTCTAACCGAATACGGTGGAACCTATCTCTTCCCTTTGCCGTTGTGTTGTTGTCAGTGTTTTTATGTTTTTATTTTTTGTTTTATTATTTTGTGTTTGGTTTTGTTTTATTTTTGTGTATGTTGTCCCCGTAGTGGCGTGTTATGTCGGGTGTGTTCGGTCAGGTGGGTACAAGCGTCAAACTGGGCGGCGAGATCCATCATCCGTAGTTTTGCATTGCCTTGCAGTTGGAAGTTGCCTTCTTTGTGTTAATTTGCGTAAGTCTTGTTAGGCTTGATGTAGTGTCCATTATTGTAAATGTATATAGCGATGATGTTACGCAGCGTCGCAGGTAAGTATACTATGTACGTAGAGAACAAATAACCAGTAAATTACATATATAAAAAGATACATATAACCCAAAAAGTGATATTGTGTAGCTTTCTAATTTTCGACGTTTATGGATTGTGCAAATATCAAACTTTACATTCCATTTTGTGTAAAGAGAAATATATTAATATTTTCAAAGTTCGTAAAGATATTTTCACAATAAAAATTCGTCTGAATGTACTAAAAACACGTAATATGTTCCTCCTTGGCTCCTAAATAAGTGTGTAACGAAAAGTTCACGTTATCGACAGCATGGTAGATGTTTAGACTAAGTATCTGTCACAAGAATTATATGCGGACTAGCGTGCCACCACCATAGAACGCATATGGAATTTGACATAAAAGAAAAAATAAATAGAAGTTACTGTACATTGTTTTTTAAAAGAACGTTTTAAAGCCAGTTGGCAGATATAAATAGGTGTTACCCGAGTTTAGGAATAGTGCACCCTTGTCCGACCCAAGCATTTTTAGGTGACTCCCTGCGTTGTGTAGGCGTAGCTTAGACGTCGATCTCCAGGGTAGATGAGGCCTCGATTCGTACCCTATTTTTTTATCACATATTTTTTTTTAATTTTTATTTTTTTGTCTTTTTTTAATTCTCCTACGTTGGCACTCTTCCGGGTCATATTCGTATCACGCGACACTGGCCTCCCCCGGCCCATACACGCATCAATATACACGATACACTTGTTCCATTTCGTTTTATTTCCTGATTTTTTTTCTTTTAATAAAGGGTCTGTTTTCCGTGTTGGCCTGCTTGCGGCTAGGACAGATATGGAACACGTGATTAAATTTTTATTCAATTTTAATTGGTTAATTAATATTATCATTTTGACCTCATCATCTCATAAATCACTTTTTGTTGCGTTCAATTCTTACAAAATGTATAGCAACAAATTAATGAATTTTTTGTATTACTTTCAAAAATAACAAAACTTCACAAAAAAATCTTTGATGTTAGCTGTAAAAAAATGCAGTTGAATTAAAATATTATAAAAAGCAGAATAAATATTTCATTTTTAATCAAACTAAGTTCCACATAAAACCGATTGCCTTACCAGTATGCACTCCCTCTGACTGCATGGCCAAAGTCCCGCCACTGAGATGATGACGTCACAATCGTAACTTGAACACGGAGTATGACGTCAGCAACACACGTCGCAACGCTATTCAAAAAGAGAAATGACGTCATAGTGCGTCGAGGCACGTGTCCGTGCCATATCTGTCCGGCGGCAGTTGTAAAGCTAGGGCTGCGCACGTAGGACGGTGTCGAATGGGGCGTGGAGCCGCGCGTCGTAGAGAGATGTTGTTGGCAGCCCCGCCCCGTGCTGGAGACCGAGGTGTAGTGGCGGCCGCGCCGCCCGCGCCTGCCCTGCCGGACGCCGACGGTACAGCCCGGACGCGGCGACACTCGCCCGCACGCACCGCACTCCATCTGTGCCCCTAGCTCCGTTACTGGAGATGCAATCCGCGAGGTTCACTCCGAACCCGTGCTGCCAATCATGCAGACGCTAAATTAAATAAGGATTGAAACAATTGGAATGGAATGTGCAAACATAGATGTGTGTGATTTGTAGATACAAAGCGAGTAGAGTGTCGTCGAGTAACCGTTAGCATTTCAATAGTTCTGTTTTCTCGTCTGTTATGCATCTACCCACGACTTCTGGCTGTAGATCTCGCCCTGTCCCCCAGTGCTCCCGTACTGGCACCGTCTCGTCCGCCGCCCCCGTCAGCACCCTGTCTCCGCGACGAGCTACCGCCGCACGTCGCCCCGACCGCGTCCCAACTCGTCCCGCTTTGTGATGTCACTCTCTTGTCTCCAGTCAGCCAGTCATTTAGCCACGTGTTTGTTTTAGCAGTTTATCGCAGCACCTTAGTTCTTTTGTTTTGTATTACTTAGCTGTGAGCATGGCGCCCACCGTTTCCCCAGCACCGGACTCACTCATCGTGCC